TTATTATTATTATTATTGTTATTATTATTATTATTATTATTATTATTATTATTATTATTATTATTATTATTATTATTATTATTATTATTATTATTATTATTATTATATTCAATATTCCTGGCCCTGTTCTGATTTGGCAGTTGTTAAGATTGATTGACACTTTGTAATTACAACGTCCATTTGGCATGGTCTATATGGAGGAAATAAATTGGCCTATGCCTTTGTGTTGAGCTATCGTACTGATAAAAAAAATAATTTAATGTTTAATTGTGTGACGTTAAGTTTTATACCATTCATAGAGAATCCCACTGCCCTTCCTCCACCACCTGCCGTCACTGACCATATGGGATTCTACGCCCGAACACGTGTCGATGTGGACGCGCGCGCGCACACCCACACGTACATGATGAACTGTTAGAGGGCGCTAACAACATGTGAATTGTTTTTTTAGGAGGAAACCAGATTTGTTTACCTGCATACGCGAATTTTTTAGCATAAGACTTGGTAAGATGAATTTCCTTACACAATTTAAGAGCATTATAGTAATTAATTTTTGAGATACAGATATAGTGACATTTATTACTTCTAATAAGGCTGTATTGCTAGTAAAAAATCTAGCCTAGCCTAGGCCCTGTTTCGTCAGAGAGTTGTTTGCATAGGCTTGGCATATACCCTGGTTCAGCGACTTCATCCCTGGAAGTGAAGGTAATCTAATAGCAAACCTTACCTAGGTTGTCGGCCTAGCATTCTATCCACCTCCTCTCCTCGGTTATTGCAGCTGATTATTTCGAGATGGATAATGCTCTGACCTGCCTAGGCCTCTCTAGGCCTAGGTTTATACATTTTGTCTATACATTTGTTTAATTTATTTTCTCATACCCTTTTCATCAATCAACATAGACTGGACACTATCCAACAAGCCTAGCTAGGGTCTAGATGATGTACAAGTATTTTTTAAGCTTGTGTCCAGAGAGGCGATCTTTTGAGGCCAGGCCATGCTAAAAAAGGTTTTAAATTGCGCAGATGATACCTTAAAAAAGAGGCCTAGCTCAGTGGGCTCATTGGATCGTTGATTCACAGACATGAAGACAGGGGCGGATCCAGAAATGTTCAAAAAGTGGGGGCCGAAAGTTGGGCCGATTGAGACAACACTGTCGTAGGGGTCCGGGGCATGCCCCCGCGAAATTGTTGTGTTCTAGACGCCCGAACATAACATTTGAGGCATTCTGGGCTATCATTTTTTTCTTTTTCTCTCTTTTTTTCCCCTTTTTTTACCTTGCAAAAGGGGGGCCCCCCCCTAAATCCGCCCCTGGAAGACCTGCTTGTTCCACAGAGACTCTGGCTGCTAAAAATGGGCGGTCTTCCTTGTGATGGGTGTGTTTGGTTGGATTGGTTATTGTTGGGCAAAAACTAACCTACGACATCAAGAACGAAAGTTTAGGCAAAGGCTGACCTAGCTCAAAGTAAAGACTTAAGCCTAGGCACCTATACCTACTATATAACTATAATTAGGGTGTTCCCTTCCCATCGATGCTTGAGTAATATCTGATTTTCTCACTGGATTAGACCTAGTTTTGGAAAGGCCATTGAATCAAGGGCAGTTGTTTAAATGTATCTGCCACTTCGAAAAACGATATCATGCACACAGGAATCCCCAGGTATAATCCCACCCCCATCAATTTTTTATTTTATTTTAAAGTGATAATCTAATAATTTGCGCGAAGGATATATTCCCCGCTCAGGCCTTTGCAGTCTGGGGGCGAGGGATGAGCCGACATATTCTTGTTGAGGGCACCCAATTCCTTTTTTAATTTTATATAAATGATATCATGCTTATTTGTTCAATATTTTGTCCTTACAGTATGTGGGCCCAGATTATAAATTGGAACTTAAAAACTGAGGCATAGAATTTTCGTCTGTGCATTGCAAAAACAAGGGCTGATTTGATCTCAAAATATGCAGAAATTTATGCCTCGGTCTAGATGTCTACAACCAATGTATTAATGTACAATGTAGTACAGTTACAATTCTGCACACCTATTTTTAATTGGTTTTCCACGCAAATTGAAGGCTATTTGACTGCAGTTAGACAGCACACTTTCATGTTCAAATATATCCTTTATTGTTAACTGGCTTCTTGAAAACTTGTATCAATATCATAATGATAACAAATGAACTGCACAACAGAAATTCCAGCTGTTATGTTAGCATTAGATGCCTCTGTTGAGCCTTATTGGTTTGACTTTGATATATTATTATTGCGTGGTCAGATTGATATTTGCTTATGGCCTACTGAAGTACTATTAGAATATAAAAAATAATGAATATTCATAAGATATGAGCAATTGGATAGAATATTGTTATGATGTAAAAGTTGGAATTTTCAATTTTCATTGTTACACTACAGTTATAGTAGTTTATACAATACAGTAGTTAAAAAGAATATTGCTACCAAGATCTACAGTCTTGCAGGTCACAGGCTAATAATGTAAGGATGGCTCAAGACACCCTCAACCCAGCAATTTATTTAGACCGTTAATAACGCCAAGGACGTGGCGTAGTGAGTGGCTTTAACAACGCCACTGCCTAGTTCACACACAAAGGCGTACGCTACGCCAGGCTTAAGCCAGCCTTACGCCGTGTGTGTGAACATAGCCATACATGTATTGTAAAAAAAAAAATTGTCATAGGGTCAATATTTAACACGCCTCCATCGGTGTTGGGAACAACAAATTATTTTGTAATGGTCCGTGTTTAAAGCCAACCAACTTCCAAGCATCAAACAACCAATGTCATCCCTGTAAGAAAATGGTTGACTCTAGGCCTACTGTATAGAGAGACATTTAATTGTATTATTCAGCATGTTTTGAATTGTGTATTATATTGAATTGACTAGACACACAATATTGTCAATCGTCTATTCACAAAATTTGACTGGTACACATACCTGTATAAGTTTAGCATGTTAGGTGGAAAAAAGGGGGGAAAGAAATATAAGTATTAAAACAGTATTTAACACATTATGGTATTAAATGAATAAATTGTAAAGAGAATGTAAAACCTGCACTCATTTGATATTTATTTGGTCATTTCAAGTGCTAAAAAGAAAAGAAATTTGATATGTTTTTTTTATGTTAAACTGAGAGAATAGGCCTAATATTTCTAAACTGCTAAACCATACTACAGTATTAAAGCTACTAGCTATACATCTTAACATTGAGGAAGTAGTTTTTCCTCCATGATCTAACAACTCCTGGGTGGAGAGAGACAACACAGTTACCAACCTGAGAGATTACACCAATTCATTGGGGTGTGGGGGGGGGGGAGATCATCAACAATGAAAGCGCAAGACCACATGTGACTAGTGATTCTGCTAAGCCGGGTTTTGTTGGTCGGGAAAGAGAAATGTTCTCTGTGAATTAATTCTCGAATGAGATAACGAAAGCTCTCTAATGACTCAAGCTGCTGCATGACCTTTTTATATTTTTAATAGAAGCAATTTCTTTTAATTTTAAATACATTTTCCCCTTAGTTCGTGATAATTTGTTATCACTTATAAACTTGTGCTAATGCGTGACAAATTTATGAGCACGCATGTTTCTGCACAATGCATGTTTCATCAAAAATCACTTTAAATGCAGGACTGTCTCGCATGATGCGAGACAGTTGATAACTAGGAGACAACCATAGATACAGTAAAGTGCCTTGCCTAAGGACACAGGCAAAATGCATAGTGAGGGTTTGACCTCTGACTTCAAGGTTGAGAAGCAGAACTGCTCCTAAGATCAGTTTGTAAACCAGTCATGAAGCTGTATATTTTTCATGAAGATAATAGCCTTGTTTTAAAAGTGTAAATAGCATTTTTACACTGATTAATGCAAATGAGTTTTGCATCAAAGGTAATACTAGGAAATTTGAAAATGAAATTTATCATTTTTAATGATACCATCTGTCATGAAAATATGAAAAAATTTCTTTAAAATTCAAATTAATACATTACCTTGAATAAAAATTCTAAAACTGATTGCTGTAAGCCTTGTCAGAAGGTAAAACTGGTAAATTTGACAAGGAGATTAATATTTTTTAAGATACTATGTGTCGTAAATTATTGAAAAACTCGTAAAAATTCAAATTAAAACAATAATCAGACACTTCTTGAAGTGGAGCCATGGATTGCGTTATAAATAGCATTATTATCGCTACATGTGAGCCCTTGCATCAAAGTAATACCATTAAATATGACAATGAATTTTAGTATTTTATAAACATATCCATCATAAAATATTGAAAAAAAACTCTTAAAAATTCAAATTAATACATTGAACAGACAGTTGATGCAAAACCACCAATTTAAGGGTCTACTGTATACAAAGAATGCTGAAAGCTCATTCTTGTTGTTACTAACACTCTGACAGCCAGCGGTTTGAAAAAGTAGTATCAGCCACTGCCAGACATTTTAGCAAATTTTGAAACTTTTCCGAATCTCGTTGAGAGTGTGTATGTGATCAGATTGACATGTAGTGAATACTACAAGAACTACAAACATTTTAGCTTTACAGTGGAACCAAACACTTTATTCTAAAGCACAATCTGTGACCCGTAACAGAAAATGACTTAGTTTTGGAGATTTACGCACTTTTGCACAATGAAACTGAGAAAATTGCGATTTCAGGAAAGTAAATCAATACCGCTCTAGGCTAGTGTGAACAGACAATAGTGAAATATTTACGGTCCAGACTGAATATAGTGTTCAAATTGTTAGTACATGTCGGTAATTACCCCCATCTATCGGATTCTGTAAAAAATCTTGAAACACGGAGATCTCTGTGTTTGGCGGTCAAGCGTTGCGTTACCAAACATTGAGATCTCCGCGTTTGGCAGGCAGAGTGTTAAAGGCATGGAGTTTTTTTAAATTATTTTAATTTTCAACTGAAGTCAAATTTATACCATAGTTTCTCTGTTTTAGGCCTTATAAGCCAACTTCCTTCTTTATGTACAATTTTATGTACTACCAGCCTTTCCTCGGGCTAAATCCCAGGGTATAATGTGCTGGCGCGTATGCCCCCCCCCCCAACCAAAATACAAAAGGTCCACTTTTTCCAGGATAGAAAATTCAAGACTAAATTTTTGCACTTTCCAAAAAACCATCCACCACATCCCCTTGACCAATTAGAGCAGTTTCCAACTAGGACCACCTCTAATTTGTTGTACAAGCAACGCCTTTTACCTGTATTATATAACCTTTTTAAAGGAATTTGAGTGTTTTTCCCCGCCGCTTACGTATCAATGGCTCACCACAAACAAGCTATCTTTAGGTTCCAATAAAATCATCTTTATTCTCGTTTGGAAATCATCCTGATACGGCAGACGTGGATTTAGACCTTCGCACAGTTTTCTATTAGTGAAGGTCAGAGCAAGAAAAATATGTATTTTTAATACACAAAGAAAATTATATTCGAATTTAAGTCTGAGAGTGCCATTTCTGGCCATTTAGAGGTGCCATTATTATATGTTCTTACCCGAGCCCCAACCATAATGAAAGTCCTTCCTTGGTTTGGTCCCTCTATTTCAATTTCCTGGATCCGCAACTGTCAGTGATGGATTCAAGGGTCGTCCCCCCCCCCACCGCCTCAAATTTTTATTCAAGGCTGTGGTGGTAGGATATACCCTCCATCTTTGAAAGTCCCTCCATGGGCCCCCTCTATTTCAAATTCCTGGATCCGCCACTGGAAAAAAAAAATTTTAATACTGTTCATATCCCCTGCGCCTAATTTTTCCAAAATCAAAAAAGGAAAAAATGGGAAAAAAAGAAAAATTAATCCTGAGAGTGCCATTTCCAGCCATCTAGAGGGTCCCTAATCATAAATTTACTTAACTGGGCTGAGGTGGTGGATGGAGCCTCCATCTGTGTCCCCCACTCTCTAGACCGCCTCACCCCCCTCCCCTCTTATCCACCCTCCTCTGACGATTAAAAAAAATAATAAGTTTGCGAAACAACTTATAAAAAAAGTCTTGCCTATGGTATAAAAATAAGTAATTCCTTTGATTTTTCAACATTTATTCATTTAAACTGACTGTTGTGTTAAAGTGCATTTGTGTTGTAAGCTAATTTAGAAACTTGCACATGTGTAGTTAGTTAAATATCAATGATGAAATATTCAGATTTTAATCTCAAAAGGACTTTGATCATTTAGACTATTTCTTATCATATGGATGTTTAATTTTTAATGCCAATATTCTTGGTGATTTATATTGAATTTTTTCATATATATATATATTCTTTGGATTTTTACTTTCAGTCATAATAAAGACTTCCTACAGTAAATGCCATTTAATGTAGATAATTAAATTGCCATTGCTTCTGCTAAACCATAGTATTGTTGTCTATTTTTATACCTCCATGGTTAAATCAACAGCTGAATCTAGGTCTGTGTGTAGATACTCAATCAAATCAAACAACCAATGGATTTATACGGCAGACTACAGCTATGTTTAATATCTTCTTAGTCTTTTAATAGATAGATAGAATAAATAAATTAAAGCACATTACTTTATTATTTCTTTTTTTTGAGTATGCAGTTCTGTACAACATTAAGTATATTAGAAGCAGTATATACTGTATGTTTTTGTTTGTTTGTTTTTTTTTCAGGCAAGTTTTATGACTGCAGATATCAAAGTTTGCTGGTTGTTTGCTTAGCTGGTTGTTTGCTTAGGTCATCCTAAATGTTGATGGGAGTGCAAATTAATAAGACAGCCATTTTGTTGCTGGTTGGTGTGGCTCTCACACTACTTTTCATCTACTACCCTTCAGTGTCGTCGGACAAGAAATCCGAACTCAGTCGAGTCGAGTCAGTTGAGAATTTTGCTAAAGAAGCTCTGGAGAACAAGGTACGCGTGTTTGGTGGTGTAGCTCAGGACGGACAAATTATCAACATGACGTGGGAGGATATGAAAGAAAATGCGATGCAAAACAATAGGATAACGTGCACTGAGGGAACATTTGAGGTGAAGGGACTACAAGTGTACCGCCGGGAGTGCGTCAACATTGAGGATGCACCAATTGGAACTCTGCTGTTCCTACATGGACAGAGTTTTAAATCTTTGACATGGAAAGATCTTGGGACTCTTATTGTGATGGCAAGCTATAGGTATAGAACAGTGGCTATAGACTTACCAGGTAGGATACTCTCCTTCCGATACCAGGATCCAAAATTCAGGTTCCGTAAATCCTTGAATAAGTGCCACCGCGCTTATCAAATTTTTTGGAGGCTTCTGTGTGGCTCTGTTTCCCAAAGTGTAACAGGGTAATATGTAGGTTCCTATTCTTGATTAAGCGCTGCGTCGCTTATTCAAGAGTGGCACTTATTCAAGGATTTACAGTACTGTAGGTCTTACAACATATTATGCCACGTCAACACTACATTGTAATAAACACTAATCTAGAATAAGCACCTTTCTGCATTGAGGCCTCCAAAATATTCATTAGTACCAAAATGGTTATTGGGTCATTTAATATGTGGCCCTGCTTCTCAAACTATGGGTTGTGATCCAAATTTGGGTCGCCAAAACATTTCTGAGTGTCGTGAGACTGCTTCTGACTTTAAAAAGACTTTGGTGAAACGCATTTCGAAACAGTAGAAAACACATAGTCGTCCTACGAAAGACTTAACTTAAGAGATACGTACACCCAGATGTATATACAAGATGAAAGCTTGATATTCATTGTCAACCTAAAATCTACTCTCATGGTTGCACTGTTGCCAATCTTTCCAAGGATTAATAAGAAATATCATTAAAATTAGGCAGGAACATAGCTCACATTAACATGATGTACCAGTTAATTAAGTTAATGTACAGCCCTTTTTTTCACGCACCCTTAATCCTCACAAAACAAAACGACGATTGCGAAAAATAAGGGTGTCTGAAAATAACATGTCATTTTAGTAAAAAACCTTAATCAACCCACCACACAGGCAAACTGGAGTAGCTGAAGTAGGCCTGCTTAAGCTAGTCTTAAAATTGGGAGGGTAGTAGTAGTAGTAAAACTTTATTTATTCACAAAGCACAAATCAACAAATACAATGCTGTTTTTCATTATGGCCGTGAGATACAGTATGTGTTTAAAATGATAAGTTGCTTCTTTATTTTTTTTTTTAGTTCGTTTGAGCTTTCATTTTTTCAATATTTACCCAGTCAATATTGACCAAGTCGACTGTACATTTTCATTTTTGTGTTGTTTTTACATTAAATATTTCAAGTGTACATTCTCCATACTACAAAGTGGATGGAAAAATGCCTTGTGTACTTTGCCGAGTAAAATCTAAATCGAAACGATTTATCACAGCTACTTTGTATTTAACTTGGTTGACTAGAAATACAACAGCATATCTTTATTTGCTATTTTTAGGGGCAAGTGCTATGGCAATCAAATCATACTAGCATAGATTTTTAGATACATTCTCCATACTACTGTACAAAATGAACATTCCTGACACCAATGCCTTGTGTACTTTGCCGAGTGAAATCTAAAGCGAAACGATTTATCACAGCTACTTCGTATTTGACTTGGTTGACTAGAAATACAACAGCATATCTTTATTTGCTATTTTTAGGAGGCAAGTACTGTGGCCATCAAATCATGCTAGCATAGATTTCTAAAAAAAAAAACATGGCAATATGTCAGAAAATAGTAGCGTAGCATTATGATTTTATTCAGCTTGTGGCAAGTATGCTTAATTAATGAACACATAACATGATAGCATTGTGTTATGACAATATCATGCCTTGGGTCGCCAAAGAATAGGGAGTCTGATAGTGGGTCACCACCCAAAAAAGTTTGAGAACATGGATTCATGGTATGCTGTGGGGTGTAATTGAAAGGCTCAGTATTCATACAGTATTTTATTTATCACACTTTCCAGACTATCAAAAATTATATTTCAACATGCCTAAATATGGTCTTGATGACATCAGATCACAACCATATATAGGCACATCATGACTATATATAGGCACATCATGACTATATATGGAGATAGCCCTAATTTTGTTTTTCCTTTTTTTAGGATACGGAGAGACACCCAAGTCTGATATCCCAAATAAAGCAGACTTTTTGATGGATGTGATGACAGCGTTAAAAATTGAGAAGCCGATATTGATAAGTCCATCGATGAGCGGCCAATATGCACTCCCTCTAGTTATGAAGCATGCTGAAGCGCTGAAGGGCTACGTACCTGTGGCACCTGTTGCTACAGAAAGTTTTAGCGATGCTGAATACAAAAATAATCAGGTAGGTCATTTTAAGTTATAATTCGGCCTGATTTTTAGACTCAGAATGAGTCACATTTGATCAGTGGTGGCACAAGGATTTGCCCAACATGGGACCAATCTCTTCGATGGGGGAGTGTAAATCGGCAGGACCACAGGCTGCCAGAAATTCTCAAAGTGGGCTAACAGGGATTTATTTAATCAATTTTTAATCCTCATAATCTGTAAAAAAAAAAAAACATCAATGTTGTTGTGTGAAGTCCTTCATGGTTGTGGGCAGCTCTTCTTGAGGTTTTGATCACTGGTTCTCTCACTGGTATCATGCCTGCATTTGATTGCCATACTGTAGGTTACTGAAGTTGAAGTTTGTTTTTATTGTGGCATTGTGTCAATGATTAAACAAAAGCAGATGAGTTGGTTTAAAAATATACAAATCTTATACTGTATATATTAATACATACATATACACACATTCAAATAAATGATGTGTTACCATTCCTGATGTGTTATCTCATTGAATATTCAGTAGGTCCACAAATACTTGCGAAAAATGATTGGAGTAGGAATTGAACCAACAGACTTCAGATCAGTCTGGTATCAAACAGTAACCATATATTTCTTATTTGTTTTGTCTCTTAGATTCCAGCTCTTGTTGTATATGGTGAGAAAGACACAATGCTTGGTGAGAAATCAGCTTCCAAACTGAGACTCTTTCCCAACAGCCAGGAACACAAACTTAAAGATGCCGGCCACGCTGCTTACCTTAATCAGCCACTTGAGTTTCATCGTCTCCTCCGCGACTTTTCAGATAAGCTATTCGGCAGCTAAGTTTTGCCTCTTGTTTAATCATTTGTAGTAAACACTAGGCAATTTTTAGTGCACAAAAGAAAACTTAAATCGAAGAAAAATCAATGAAAATGAAGATTTTAATTATTCAAATAATTGCTGACATGTTTATACTTCTAATTTCAGAGTAAATTGAAATAGTAATCTTTTAGTATTTATAATACAAGAATTATTTACCATAAGACTTTGTGGGAATTACTTTAATAACGTTGGTTTTTTTAATAGATAAATAAGACAAAAAAAAAGAAGTTATGCCCTAGAAAAGGACAACTGGATCTCATGTGAGATATAAGTAAGCAAAAACTTAATAGGATCATGCAAGAAAACCAACCAGAATAAGGGGTTTTTTTATATTGTAGTTTTGTATAGAGGACACTTTTAAAGCAAATTTTTCTTATTTTGTATTGGTCATAGAATTGGTGGACGAAATAAAATGATTGGACACTGTAGTGGTCTTTAGTGGATATTACTAAAATCTTGTGTGTTCCATATGATATATTATTTATTTGAAATTACAACGTATGCTCTGTTTGTGTATATTTATTACTATGTTACTTTTTGTGAATTACTTTTCTAGGTGTTGGGATACTTCATCTGCCTTCAAACACAATTTCATCTAGTCTTTAGTTGAATTAATATACTGTAATCGGCAAGCTGGAGATGTAGCTTAACCTGTACATTCCAGTCATTTGATAATGGTAGCTGTCAGCGACCGAAACTGTCATTTAAGTTTCAAAACTTTACAGTATATTAACACTTCAAGTTGTTATCTAATTTCTTTTACCTTAAAAAGGAACAGTAATCAATGTTGTCTATTATAAAATGTTATATTGTATTACTGTCATATTAAGGATTTTGACTAATTATTTCTGGGATATTATGATTAGATCATAATTTGAATCTAACAAGGTGTATATTTTTGTCTTTTCACAAACAATAAATAAATGATTATTGACAAATCTAACCTCAGTTATTTTTTTTTTCATGTCACAAGTCCATTTTTTTATCATTTCCATTTAATAAAATGTGTGATGTGATTGAACATACTCAAACATTATATCCCTGGCCATGCTCTGATTGGTCAATTGTTAAGGTTGATTATAACTCCAGAAAGTTCTATCTGATCTCCACTAGTCTTTGATAGATTGTCCAGGATGTGATCATATTGCACACAGTGACGACGCCAACGGGTAGCAGGGGGTATTTTCCCCCGTTGGACAGGCCTGGACCCCTTGTCTCCCGACGAATGACTAGGTCGTCAGACCAAAAATAACAAAAAATAATTTGGCTATCCCAATAACGCTATTTTGATTGCCAATCCCTAATATTGTGGTTTAAAAGCACATTTAGGACCAAATTAAGTCATAAAGACTCTCCCAAGAACCCTAACAGGGTTTTTTTAATTTACAGGCTGTCAACCAAGGCTTTGTCGTCGCCTTGGTTTGGATCCATCCGGTGGACTCCTCGTCAGCAAATTTATGGTGCCACCGCTGATTGCACATGATTAATAACATCAGCCAATCTTGTACACTTGGCTTACGATAGACTCTCCGATATGTGACCGTATGTCACCATCAACGATCACATCTGGTAGTCCACTAGACTAGCGAGTGATTGTGCCACAGGCGGTGCCACCGCTGATTGCACATGATTAATAACATCAGCCAATCTTGTTACACTTGGCTTACGATAGACTGTCCGATATGTGACCGTATGTCACCATCAACGATCACATCTGGTAGTCCACTAGACTAGCGAGTGATTGTGCCACAGGCGGTGCCACCGCTGATTGCACATGATTAATAACATCAGCCAATCTTGTTACACTTGGCTTACGATAGACTGTCCGATATGTGACCGTATGTCACCATCAACGATCACATCTGGTAGTCCACTAGACTAGCGAGTGATTGTGCCACAGGCGGTGCCACCGCTGATTGCACATGATTAATAACATCAGCCAATCTTGTTACACTTGGCTTACGATAGACTGTCCGATATGTGACCGTATGTCACCATCAACGATCACATCTGGTAGTCCACTAGACTAGCGAGTGATTGTGCCACAGGCGGTGCCACCGCTGATTGCACATGATTAATAACATCAGCCAATCTTGTTACACTTGGCTTACGATAGACTGTCCGATATGTGACCGTATGTCACCATCAACGATCACATCTGGTAGTCCACTAGACTAGCGAGTGATTGTGCCACAGGCGGTGCCACCGCTGATTGCACATGATTAATAACATCAGCCAATCTTGTTACACTTGGCTTACGATAGACTGTCCGATATGTGACCGTATGTCACCATCAACGATCACATCTGGTAGTCCACTAGACTAGCGAGTGATTGTGCCACAGGCGGTGCCACCGCTGATTGCACATGATTAATAACATCAGCCAATCTTGTTACACTTGGCTTACGATAGACTGTCCGATATGTGACCGTATGTCACCATCAACGATCACATCTGGTAGTCCACTAGACTCGCGAGTGATTGTGCCACAGACGGTGTCATGATGGTGGCCATGTCTTGTACACGAATACTCGGCATTGCCTCTGACATTCATTGCAATGTCCGTATTGACCATACAATACATTGGCTCAATAGCATCGTAAGAGGGAGGTGGTGTTGGTGGTCTCATCGTAGCCCTCCGCCAGGCAGTGATCATCGCAAATAAACTGCTGCTCGAGCGTATAAGAGGAGGGGCCTGATTATTTACTTGTGAAGCATCCGATGCATTTCTAGCAGCCTCTGCTCCATTTGTGTTGCGATGATTTTCTGAAAATAAACAGATACTATTGCCTTTCAAGCGAAAATTATTACAATATCCCCAAACATTTAAAGATTGTCCCATAAAGAATGCCCAAAAAAAAATATGAAAAATCTTTTTGAAATATCAACTATCAAAATAGATATTAGTGTATTTAAAAAATGTTTCTACAGTGAAAACATTGTAATGTGTGAGCCATAGATCTGTAATTTATTATAAATCAAATAAATAATGTGATTTAAAAGCTTTCTAAATTTTTAAATATAATAGAAATAGGTTTAAATATAATAGAAATAGAAATATGAAATAGAAAAACGTTAAAATCGTAGTAGCAACGATTTTATCGTTTTTCCACAATTATGACGTCATCTGATTTGATTTGTCGAAATATTTTGTTGTCGTATACACGATAAATCGTTATCGAATCGTCCTAGTGTAAAAACTTCTCCCATTTCTTTTATTTTCTATATGAACAATTGCTTTTTAGCTTTTTATCGTTATCGTTATCGTTGCAAGTATAAACAGGCATTTAATCTTTCGAAATTTATGTAATGCAAAAGGAAACATGATCACTGTACACACCTCTGGTGCTCCTGGAGGCGCGTGCACTCCCTCTTTTTGCAATGCAACAACAAAATACAATTAGAAAAAATATTCCAAAGGCAGTCAACAGTATAACCCAAAGCTTGCTGATAACTACAAAAGAAAAAAAAGCACATGTTAATCCATAATTTTAAGGTGTATATATGTAGAAGATCTACTTATGCTGAGAATCAACTAATCAAAAAAATGAATATCTATAATTCGCAAGCTTTAGATCAACCAAGACGTGCAATTTTATATATCAACCAGTTAAATCAGGCAAGCATCTTGTATGAACAGAGGTGGAGATCAGCCAGTCAAAACATGCTGGGGATTTTGGAGGAGATCAACCAATCAATGACATGGTTTCATAGCGCATGAACTTGGATAAACCAATGAAGACATGTAGTGGACTTGCAAAAGCTGCTGATCAGCCTGTGAAAACATGCAGGGGCTTTAGGAGCAGATCAACCAATCAAAATGACATGGGTTCATACGCATAAACTTCAAGATCAATCAATAAAGACATAGTGGATTTTTCAGAAGCTGCGGATCAACCAGAGTGAAGACATATGCATGGTTTTATTTTAAGGTCGGGTCACCCAGTGCAGTGGATTTACATTATAAAATTGTAAACAATGGATGTAATCTACGACGAAAGTTGATGCTGTTTTTTGTTTTTTCCCCAAAATACTGACCTCTGCGATTAGAGTGATCTTCAGGCTCTTCCTCCTCTAATGTGTAAATCGGTTCCTCTTCTACATACACAATATTCCAGTTATATTCAAATTCACAGTTTGGTCCATAGTAGTTGTCATAGCAGTTACAGAATGTTCCCATGCTTTCGGATACAATCTTTTGACAGCGATTCTTCCTTTCACATGGACATGTAATTTCTAAAAAATGATGTGATAAAGTAAATTTGTCTTAGTTGCATTACTACGAAATTTCCTGATGGTAAACTGGAAGTACCGTACGTCCACCAGAAGACAGTATATTGATCTTTTCCGAAAAATGATTAACGGTCAAAAGCGAATACAAAAATATCTATGCGATGTAAACACAAGTATAGAGATGTTTGAAAATGTGGAAGAATAAAAAAAAAATAAAGATAAAAGTAGCAAACCAAGTCAGCACCCAAACCGCAGTATGGGGATATGATACGCCCTCGTCGCTAACCAGGGATTGATATAAAACCGGGCACTCACTGCGCCCGACGGTCGTCGGCCGACGCGATTATGTAGAACGCAACGACAGGACGCGCGCGCAACGGATCGTTTTTAATGACGATTTGTTCAGACTGCCACCGACAACCAGCACACGGCGTCGCGTCGTCTAGCGCTCGTCGTACAACGGTCGTGCGAGCGTCGTACGGCGCAGTGAGCGCCCGGCTTAAGTGAACCTTGGTCAGTACCTGTTGAGTCTCGGCCATCTCGGACTCCTCCTATAAATCTAATAAAACTCACTGGCATGGAAACAAAAATATATACGAGTTCCACAACTTAAGTACCTTATTCTTATGAACATCGAGAAACATAAAGAGCTCTGCCTAAATAGGTGCAGTATGTATGGCCTGTTCAATATTAGTTTTTCTTGGCACAGATTACTTGCCACACTCAACCTACTACCTTTGCATTAACGTCTTTCGTAAGCTTACCCTGTTCCGGTACATCGCAATGTTCGCCTGAATACCCCATGTGACAATCACATCTGTAATTTCCTTCCAAGTCTACAATCTTGCACACTCCATGATTACAATTTGCCTCTCCGCATGCAACTGTCAAAAGAAAAGTGTTACGAATGTACATGTTATAATAACGTTATATTAATGCAAGATATGAGGAGAAATCAAAAACTAATTCCTTTATTACAGTACATAGTGTGTACATTGACTGATTATTTGATTATTCATTCAAAACCTTATTTATTCTCGAAATATATTTATATATACATGCAGTTTGTATGTATATGTGTTTGTATA